TGGGACAAGCCCCCACCCCAAACTCTGCAGGTATGTAAAGAAACAAAAGCAATGAAAAAGAGAAAACTGTCCCTGTCCCTGTGGCCTGGAGGTTCCAGGCTGGGAGGGGAATAGGAGTCTGGAGGAGAGGCAGAGAATAGGGAGCAGCTCCATTGACCATGGGTGCTGAGCTCCCCACAAAGCTGCATCTCTTCCCTGCTGGGTGGTGGGACCCTCTCCACGGTGCCATCAAACAGCCCCGTTGCCTTGGGGACACTTTCCAGCAGTGTTTAGCCATCACCCTTTGGACCTGTCCCTGGTTGTACAGCCCCGCTATCTGCTCTAGGGGGGGAGAGCTGTGGGTACAACTCACTGCATGGCCTGCTGGGTGTGGGCTGGATAGCAGGGAACTTGCATTTCTGTCTCCAGGAGAGAGAGTCACCATCAACTGCAAAGCCAGTAAAAGCCTTTCTCACCAAGGCAAGGAATACTTAGCCTAGTACCAGCAGAAAACGGGACAAGCTCCTGAATGCCTTATCTAGCAGGGAACTCGCATTTCTGTTCTTTGGGCTGGACACTGCAGTGTTTTCAGTGGAGCTGGAAGCGGGGGCAGAGGCATTGATATTATTATTATGTGGGCTGCTGCTCCCGTACCGTTGTTTCAGCTCATGCAGGCAACATGCTGCTGGGGAAGCTTTATAATCCCTTATGTCTCCATGAGAAGGTGCTGGGGTCGTATTGGAACGTCCATCCTTTCTGAGCAGCATACTCCCCTAGCACAGACTACGTGTAAAGTAAGGAATCTCCCAGTTGATTGTAGTCCCCGCTGTATCGCATTGGGGGACACTGGAAATGAGAGGACTGGACAGTGGGCTGAGAAGTCTTGTGACTGGCAAACCATTCGTTACCTTCTGAGAGGACAGCAGGTGCACTAATATTTCCTCGTACAGGAAGCAGCTGTTACACTGAAGAACAGAAATGGCTCAGAGCAGGCAGGTTTTATACTGATCTGTATCATTGGGCACACTTGACTCCAATAATAATTTTCAGTATGATCACCTTCAACCTTGCTGACTGTAAAAGTGAAATTAATGCCAGACCCTCTGCAGAGGGACATTTGGAAACACCAGGGAGAAGGGGCTTAGGGACTTGTCCTGATTTCAGTTCATACCGGGCCACGGAGTTTCCAGTATCAGAACTGACTTTGCAGTTGGTTGTAGCTGTGTCTCCTGGGTACACAGAGAAGGATTCTGGAATCTTGAGTCACCACAGCCTCTCCCTGGAGTTCTCTGAAACAGCAGAATATAAGTGACTCCACTGTATATGGATTGTCAGTTAAACTAAATAATCTTCAGTGGTGGTAAGATTTCCATCTGCTTCCTCCCGTACTGGTTATAACTCGTCTATACACATATATATATATCCTCAATATTTATTCCACTCTATATGCATCCAAAGAAGTGGGCTGTAGTCCACGAAAGCTTATGCTCTAATAAATTTGTTAGTCTCTAAGGTGCCACAAGTACTCCTGTTCTTTTTGCGGATACAGACTAACACGGCTGCTACTCTGAAACCTCTCGATTATTAATTTTTTTTCAGTGGATCATTGTAGTCTTAATCCGTTTCCCCTCGGTTTTACCCTTACACTGGATCCAGAGCACTAACAGCCAGATGAACTGAGCCTTCGAGATCATCTTCATATGTCTGATTGGCCTGGTTGCTGATCAAAAAACTGGTGACAGTGACTTGAGCTGGGATATTCATAGCAGCTCAGGAGAACAGGGAAATGTTGCCTGGGTGTGAAATATGCAGATTTGGTTCAGAGATGACAATTAATGTCTGATCCAAAAACGTGCACAAAGTGAGGAAGAAAATGTAGGTCAAAAAGACAAGTTCAACCCAGCTGGCCCTGGGCAGCTCCCTATCTCTGTGCTGAAATGCCCCCTAACCCATGGCAATCTGAATAAATGTTCTTAGTTCATCAATATGGCCTGGGTGTGCCTTACTGTACTAGATAGCTCTGCCCAAACTCCATATAAATGGTGCGCTCCTGTCTGTTATGGGTAAACCTTGATTAGCTCATTGGTGCCAATTCCTGCACTCAGGAATCAGCCCAGGTGCATCTGAATTCCTGGACACCAAGGACGAATCAGGTCTGTTCCTGAGTGGACACTGGGCCTTATAGGAATTTTCTCTGAGTAAGGAAGTGGAACCTAAGGTGATAGAATTTCCTCCTCCAACATCACCCCGTGCACTAAGCTTCCCTCTTGTATGTGCAGACCGGAATGAGGAGCCTGCAGGACACGACTTATCCCAGCCCAAGGGGTAAAATGCAGGTGTCACATTCACTCTGCGACTGTCTAAGGCAGGGGTGGCCACCCTTTAGCTCCAGAGCCACATGCAGCTCTTCAGAAGTTAATATGTGGCTCCTTGTATAGGCACCGACTCCGGGGCTGGAGCTACAGGCGTCAACTTTCTATTGTGCTGAGGGGTGCTCACTGCTCAACCCCTGGCTCTGCCACAGGCCCTGCCCCCACTCCACCCTTTCCTGCCCCCTCCCCTGAGCCTGCTGTGCCCTGGTGCCTGCCCCTCAGGGCCTCCTGCAGGCCATGAAACAGCTGATGTGGAGGGAGGGGGAGGGGCTGATCGGTGGAGCTCCTGGTGGGTGGGAGGCCCTGGGAGCGGGGTGGGGGACCTGATGGGGGGCTGCTGACGTATTACTGTGGCTCTTTGGCAATGTACACTGGTAAATTCTGGCTCCTTCTCCGGCTCAGGTTGGCCACCCCTGGTCTAGGGGAACCACCTATTAACTGAGCAAAAGACACTAAACAGCAGGGAAGTGCTTATACTGGTCACTGTGAGAGGGTAGCTCCAGGGCTGCATTAAGGCACATTCACTATAGGCCATGCCCAGGGCCCCAGCTAATATGTTTGTATTTTAAATCAGTAAGTGGATGACCCTGGTAACTATAGGCCAGTTAGCCTGACTTTGATCCTGTGCAAAATCATGGAGTGGTTGAAATATGATTCATTCAATTATAAAAAAAAAAAAAAAAAAAAAGGATGGTAGGGTAATTAGTACCAGTCAACATATTTTTATAGAAAATTGGTCTCATTGCATTCATTTATTATTTTTTGATGAGCTAAGTTTGGTTGATAAAGATAACTGTTGACATACTAACAGGTTTCAGAGTAGCAGCCGTGTTAGTCTGTATCCACAAAAAGAACAGGAGTACTTGTGGCACCTTAGAGACTAACAAATTTATTAGAGCATAAGCTTTCCTGGGCTACTGCCCACTTCTTTGGATGTGGGCTGTAGCCCATGAAAGCTTATGCTCTAATAAATTTGTTAGTCTCTAAGGTGCCACAAGTACTCCTGTTCTTGTTGACATACTATGCTTCGATATCTTGAAGGCATTGGACTTAGTTCCTTAGATATTCTGATTAAACAATCAGCACTAAACCAAATCAGTGTAGTACATACATGGATTAAACCTGGTTAACTGATATATCTCAAAATGTAATTGTTAATGGCAAATCATCATCCAATGAAGGTATTTCTAGAAGAGTCCCTTTGGGATCTGCTCTTGGTTCATTGGTGTTCAAAATCTCTATGAACGATCTGGAAGAGAATACAAATCGCTGTTAAATTTGGTAGATGACCTATACTGGTGAAGTGGGAAATAATAAGGATAGAACAGTTATGTCTGGGTAAACTGGACTCATTCAAGTGTGTTTTAGTAAAGCCAAATGCAAGGCCATACATCTAGGAACAAAGAATGTAGGTCATATTTTCAGGATGGGGGACTGTATCCTGGAAAGTAGTGACTGAGAAAATGTAAGGGTCACAATGGATAATGAATTGAATATGAACTCCCATTGCAATGCCGTGACTGAACTAATTAACTTTGATATTCCCGTTTATACCTCCAATAATCAACAGGCATAGAGAAGCTGGTGTTATCTTTGTATTAGTGACACCATTCGTACAATACTGCGTCCAGTTCTGGAATGTATGCTTTCTGAAGGATATTGAAAAACTGAAAAGGGTTCAGAAGGGCGCCACAAGAAGTATTCAAGGTCTGGGAAGCCAGCCTTTCAGTGAAATAGTTAGGAAGCTTAATCTATTTAGCTTATGCAAGAAAAGTGTTGAAGTTCCTACATGGAGAGAAGATTTCAGAGAGTAGAGGACTTTTAATTAATAGACAAAGACATACAAGATGTAAAGGTTAGTAGTTGAAGCTGGATAAACTCTAGCAATTTTTTAATAATTAATTAACCCCTGGAATAACTTGTATAGGGATGTGATGGATACTCCATTACTTAGTCTTTAAATCAAGATAGAGGGTGAGATTTTTGAAAGTGCCCAGATTTCTTTATAAAAGAGATACTATCACACAAACAGAGGCTAAGGGATTTATGCAGGAATTACTGGGTGAAAATCTATGGCTTGAAAGTCATAATGGTCCCTTCTGGCCTTAACATCTGTGACTCTATATCTCATTCAGTACTGTAAGCGCACTGAGAAGGCGCTAGGCTTGTATCTTAATGTCAGCTTTTAAGAGCCATACACCTCAGAGACTAAGGCCTTGGCTACACTGGCGCTGTACAGCGCTGCAACTTGCTGCGCTCAGGGGTGTGAAAACGCCCCCCCCCGAGCGCAGCGAGTACAGCGCTGTAAAGCGCCAGTGTAATCAGACCCTGCAGCGCTGCAAGCTATTCCTCTCGGAGAGGTGGAGTATGAGAGAGTTCTCTCGCAGCGCTGGTGGCGCGACTACGCTTGTGCTTCACAGCGCTGCCGTGGCAGCGCTGGGAAGTCCCGAGTGTAGCCAAGGCCTAAATGTAAAGTAATGGATCTCCCTGATAAATCTTGTCTTGACTGTAAATGTTGGGAGAGAATTGGACAATGGGGTAAGGGTCTCACAGCCTGATAGACACCCAGCTGCCTTTTGAGACGGCAGTAACTGTACTGATTCAGTCACTGTACAGGAAACAGCTGTTACAGTGAGGAACAGAAATAGCTCAGAGCAGGGAGGTTTTTGAACTGGTCTGTATCACTGTGAGAGGTGAGCTCCAGACTTCCTGACAATAATAATCTCCAGCATCTTCAGCTTCAACCCTATTGATTGTGAGACTGAAATCAGTGCCAGACCCGCTGCCGCTGAACCGGGCTGGGACCCCAGTTTGCAGGGAGCTTCCAGCATAGATAAGGAGCTTCGGAGCTTGTCCTGATTTCTGTTGGTACCAGGCCATGTAATGATAGCTATTATGTGTGAGGCTTGAACTGGCTTTGCAGCGGATAGTGACTGTGTCTCCAGGAGACACTGCCAGGGATTCTGGAGTCTGAGTCATCACAATCTGCCCACTGGAGTCTGAATTAACAAACAAAATATAAGTTAGTATGTACATGTACTGTCTCTTTCTTTTATATATACATATAGCATAAATATAGATAATTAATATATAGTTAATCAAAATACAGAATATTTTGTCTTTATAAATATTCCCGTGTGTCTCTTTCTGTCTTCTGATAGTCGATCTTCTGAGAATGACACTAACGTTAAGTTTGAGGAGATCCTTTCATCCCACCGTGTATTCAGTTGTATTTTGATCAAACCATTTTTTGTCTCTTTTGCAATGAGAAGGAGACCAGCATTTCAGAAGTGACTGTCACGAACTGAAGAATTTTTATGCATCATTATACAACTTTTCTACATCTCTTAAGTCTTTGTGTGGCTTATTGCAGCTTCAATGATCCAGCCCCAGCTTCACTTGATTCTTACCGTGGATCCAGAGCATTAACAGCCAGATGAGCTGAGCCTGCGAGATCATCTTGCTACGTCTGTCCGACCCTGTGCTGATCACTAAAGTGTAACGAGTGACACAGAACATTTATACTGGCTCCGAGCAGTGGGGCAGTGTCACTTGGATGAGAAATATGCAAATTTAGTTCAGAGATGAAAATTCCCACCTGACCTAAAAACATGCAGAAAAAGGGAAGTAAAAGGGGCTGTGGCTGAAATAGGCAAGTAGAACCCGACAGGCGCTGGGGCAGCACCCTCACTTTGGCAATTCTGATGGTAGGGCCTGCGGTCCCTGCCTGGATCAGGACACTATTTTGTTGGGTGCTGAATAAACCCATGTTAGTACGGTCCCTGTCCCTCACTTTGTGTCGAAGCGACATTTGTCAGGGTGGAATGGAAGTAAATATTTTCAGCTCATCCGTGTTGCTTGGCTACTGCTTTAACTTTAATGAGCTCAGAATCCTAGTTATAGTAGGAATTTCCCCATAAATATGACTTCAGTGGTGCTGATTTCCCTGCATCCAGGCTAACTTCTCTCTTCGGGATTTATGATTCATCACGTCAGAGACCCTGTAGGGATGCACAGGGTTGTGGGAGCCTTAATCTCCTATTTCTGCCATTTAAATCCCAAAGGTAAATGTAATGTAGAGGAATAGGCTAGCATCGCATAGTTTGTGAGCCCTGTGTCGGTGCTCCCCGTGTTCTGTGTAACATTGCGCAAATAGATCATGGTTTTCATTCCTGGAGATCTAAAGTTAGACTCATAAATCCGTATTTCAGCAACTAAAATATATGGCCACGTTTTCAAAAGTGTGGTGCTCCCAGCATCTCCCACTGGCAGTTGAATGTGGCCGTGTGGTGTCAGTGATGTGGAAGTTTAGATTCTTGTTAAAGAGGTTAGATCTACAAAGCAGCTGTTCAGTAAACGTCCATTCCCTGTGCCCTGCTCCAGGGTCATACACAGCCCCTGATTTCTGCAGCTTCCACTGATAACAATGAGACTATAGAACTGGGGTAGGCAACCTATGGCACGCATGCAGAAGGCGGCCCGCAAGCTGATTTTCAGTGGCACTCACACTGCCCGGGTCCTGGCCACCGGTCTGGGGGGCTCTACATTTTAATTTAATTTTAAATGAAGCTTCTTAAACATTTTAAAAACCTTATTTACTTTACATACAACAATAGTTTAGTTATATATTATAGACTTATAGAAAGAGACCTTCTAAAAACGTTAAAATGTATGACCGGCATGCAAAACCTTAAATTGGAGTGAATAAATGAAGACTCGGCACACCACTTCTGAAAGGTTGCCGACCCCTGCTATAGAAGCAAGTGATTCTGCTGCTGCTACCACTCTGTGGGATTCTTTCAATGGCTGGGTAATTTTAAATTGTGCTAGGACTGTGTGTGTGTGTGTGTGTGTGTGTGTAAGGGGGGGGGAGACAGGAAGGGAGGGGGGCGGTGTGGTGCACCGTGCACACAAACTCTCTCTGGCAATGCAACCTATGGATTGGGCTGTGCTGTCCCTGTATGGCTGTCCAGATTATGAATTGTTGTAGATGCTTTGTGCTGCTGCAGTTTGAGTGTCCTGTACTGTGTTATAATCCAGCATAGATCCAGGGTCTGGCTAGTCCTCAGGTAGGATTCCAGCCTCAGTTTCCCTAGTGAGAATTACACTATAATTCCCTTGGTGGATATGGGCCTCACTGATTTCCATGGGTTTTGGATTAGGCCCTTATTTCTTTAAACGTTCGTTCTCTCTTTTTGCTATTTTCAGTGAGATGGAGTTAAGTGGAAATTGTGTGCAACTCTGAGGAATAATCAGGATTTGATAGTTTAGTGTTCTGAATCTCCATTTTTCTTTAAAGGCCAATTATACTTTTAATTCATCCTGTTCCCTCTTGGTTTAATTCTTACCTTGGATCCATGGCACTAGCAGCCAGATGAACTGAGTCTGGGAGATCATTTTGATGCATCTGAGCTCTTAGAACGTTTATAACAGCTGAGAGCAAGAGGGAAAGATCAGGCAGTTCTAAGTACACAAAGCATCTCGTCTCATCCTTGCTGATGTTCAGCCATTAGAAATATAGGGACCGATCCTACCATGGCAAGATATAAGTAACTCCCCTTAATGTAAATGGGCCTGATTCTGATCTTGATTACACAAGGTGTAACTCCATTTACCCCATTTACTCCTGGTTTACAGTGGTTTAAGTGAGATCAGAATGTGGGCCAGCGAGAGTTCTTTGGATTCTGTAGAGGAGAACAGTGTCCTCAGAACTGATTTATTTACCTTATTTCAGAATAAAAAGAACAGGAGTACTTGTGGCACCTTAGAGACTAACAAATTTATTTGAGCATAAGCTTTCGTGGGCTACAGAATGTGTATAATGATTATAGCCATGTAAAACATGTCATCTCACTTCCTGAATCATTGGCTCTGCGGTTTGACACAGCGGGCCTAATTCTTGCCTGTATTACTGGTGCCATGTGGAAGGAGCATAGTGTCCTGAGAAGTGATTTTTCTGCATTTTTTTCCCCCACACATCTGGAATTTCAGATGCTCCTATATATGAAGTCATGCCATCTGATGGCCATTGTGTAGAAGCTCAGCTTTTTTAGTCAAATAGGTTATAGGACATTGAATCTGATTGTACACATGTTAAAGAGAATCAAGAATACATTTACATTACTTTGGACACCTGTTAGCTACCTAATGCTTGTTAGGTGAACAGCCTTTTGGCCTCTCTTTTTAGCAAGTTCATGTAAATACTCGCATAGTATCCTGGGCAGCTAAATTTCTTTTTAAAGCTGAATTGTGTATTCTTCCTGAAATTTACAAAAGAAGTCAGAGAAGTCTGAAAAATGGTAGGTGAGGTCAGAGGTTGGGGCAGACCTTGTAGGGAAAATCTGAATTCATTAGATCCAGAAATTGTTGAGATAAGAGCACCTTTCAAACAAGTTAGTTTCAAAGTTGCACAAATCCTTTAATGCTTGTTTTGAGCACAGCTGGGGAAAGGAAGCCTCAGGAAAGAAGAAAATATTGTGCAAAAAACCCCAATCCAAATACCCAGAAACCCCAATCCTTTCCCATAATTACATCCTATCTATCTTTATCTATCTCTGTTATCTATAATTTCTCTAGAAAAGAAGAAATATGTTCAAGAATAACTTTATATTATCTAAAAATTGTTAACCTGCTGAAGGACCAGAAGATGAGTATTTGCAAAGTACTAGAGCTGGGGACTAATTAGGGGAAGGTAAGAAACATGCCTATATAAAACAGTGCTACAATCTCCTGTCATCATAAATCCTGTGGATTGCTGTGACACTGATACAGGCTGTGAGGCCCAATTCAGTCACATGGGTGCAGGCTCCATTGTAATCAATAGGAGTGACATCTAGGGAAGGATTGGGCCTGCAGTGTTTGGGCCTGTTATTTAGGGTGCTGAAGTGTTTATTTTATATGATTGCTGACAGTCAGTGCTTGGCCCTTCAGCAGGAAGTCTTTCTGTGGAGCAACCACATGATGTTTTTAGCAGGTTCCCGCTGGAGCGTGAGTGTCCCTTTAGAATGGGGATCAGATCCATGACCTGTGTCTCTGAGCTGCCCCTATGGGTCTCTCCTCAGTAGTTCACTTAAAAATGTTAGTTATGTTTTTTGTCCACAAACTCTCCTGAACCTTTCTCAGGTACAAATGCACTTCCCCTTTCCAAGGCCCTGCATTTCTACAATGCTCCCTATACCAGAGAATCATTGGATACTCCCAGATTCCTTCTCCTGTCATACTATGTTTTTATCACAGTGGGTCACGAGAGGGTGCAGTGAGTTGTTCCCTTCCAGCAATCTGTAAACTCTACAGCTGAGGTCATCAATTCTGCTCTCCACCCTGGCAGAACTACCAGTAAAGTCTTGGGCTAACCTGAAATGCTCACACTGTCTTCTAAAGTAACAATTGGGTAGGGTGACCATCCGTCCTGTTTTTAAAGGGACAGTCCCATTTTTGGGGACTTTATCTTATATAGGCGCCTATTACCCCCCACCCCCGTCCCATTTTTTCACATTTGCTATCTGGTAATCCTACAATTAGGAAGGGTGCAAAGTAATTTAAAGGCAGAAAAAAAATGCCACCATGGTTGAGGAGATGTTACAAACTCTTCTGTTTGGAAGGAAATTTCTCTTGCAGCAAACTGCAAAGTTTATATTTTATTTCACGCTAGTGAGTGCAGGGATATTTGTCTCTGGGGCTGAAAGTTTGTCCCCAGATAACGTTTAGCATTTGCACTGAGAAGGAAGGAAGCCGCTGTTACACTGAATAAAACAGCACAGGGAGGTTTTTGTGTTGGTCTGTATCACTGTGGAAGTCCAGCCATAGCCTTGCTGACAATAATAATCTCCTGCATCTTCAGCTTGTACGCTGTTGATTGTGAGAGTAAAGTCAGTCCCAGACCCACTGCCAATGAACCGGTCTGGGATCCCAGAGGGACGGGTGGAAGCATGGTAGATAAGGAGTTGAGGAGCTTGTCTGGATTTCTGTTGGTACCAGGCTAGGTAGGTATAAGTGCCTGTAATATTTGCACTGGCTTTGCAATTGATAGTGACTCTGTCACCTGGAAACACTGCCAGGGATTCTGGAGTCTGAGTCATCACAATCTGCCCACTGGAGCCTGAGTTTACAAAGAAAATCTAAATTAATACAAATACAGATCTAGTCAATCAAACTAACCAGTATTGTGTTTGCAAAATATTCCCATATACATCTTTACACTCTTACTGGTACCTAGTCACCTGGTGGTGATGCTAACATCAAGTTCCAGATGGCTGACCCCTTTTCTTGTTGCTCATTTTCTAAAACCTATTTCTTTTTCTTAATTCTGGTTAAAATGGGACAAAGATTTGAATAAATTAGTGTTGCTCTCTGAAGACTGTTTAGTATTCTTTAACATTTAAAGGCCTTAATCCGTTTGGACCTGTTTGTGCCCGGTGCTCTACCATCATGTAAGTGTCAGTTCCTGTCACTAAGAGCTTACTAGCTAAAAGGATTGTGATTGTAGATTATTGTTTATGGGTCAACGTACAACATTTCTAGTTCTTTGAAAATTTCAGAGAATCATTGTACGTTTAATTCATCAGATTCCTTCTTGGTTTGATTCTTACCCTGGATCCAGAGCACTAACAGCCAGATGAGCTGAGCCTGTGAGATCATCTTGATATGTCTGAGTGGCCCGATGGTGGTCAACAAACGGTAACGAGTGACACGGAACATTTATAACCGCTCAGAGCAGCAGGGGATAGTTGCTTGGGTGTGAAATATGCAAATTGGGCTCAGATATGAAAAGTCACACCTGGTCCACAAACGCACACAAAAAAGGGAAGGGAAGGGACCATGAGTGAGATATAAGCAAGTTCAGCAAGACAGTTCTGAGGACAAGAGCCTGCATGTTAAAATGACTGTAGTCAGGGATGAATGGGAATAAATGTTCTCAGTGTATTATTATTGCTGTGATGCTGGATAGTTACGCTGGAGATCTCATCACAACGGTACAAATGGTATGAGCTCTCTTTGAGAGAGAAACTGTACTGGAGGGTGATGGGGGACTTCAAGCAGGGCTAATCCTGAATTCGCAGGGGTAAATCCTGATTAGCTGAATCTGTGCCATTACTGCACATCCTCCTCTACACCAGGACAGCAACACTGGTACCACTACACTGATTCCTATTCACCCGTTCCTGAATCTGGCCTGCTCCCTGTGGAAACAAGACCTTCAAGGAAGTTGCCTTTAGTCAGGAAATGGAACCAGAGATGGCTGCTCAGAGCAGCTGGGAGAGATCAGTGAGATGCAAAGCATCTGAATCATAGGCTCAGGGCTTGGGGTTGGAGAAGTGATTTTCATGCATTATGACTCTTGCGGTCCCTTCTAACCCTGTGATTTCAGAATAAAGGGCCAGATCCTTAGCTGGTGTAAATTGGCAGAGCTCCATTGACTTCAGCTCAATATCCACCTCATATGTTAACATGAAGGGGTTTTTCATTCTTATCAAAGTCAGCAGTAGGCAAATACTTGCCTGTTTCCAAGGCTGATTGTAAATCGTACCCTCACTCTTCCCTATAGCACATTGTGTTGCCATTAGACAGTGTGGCTGTGACATTTTGGGGATCACCCAGACACTAAGGGGTTCTGTCACCGCCTGCCGTAGTAACCTTGATGCTGTGCAGCTTTGGTTGAGATCCCCGGTCCGAGAAGCCTGCCTGCAAACACAGGGTCTCACCCTGGCTTTCACCAGCCTACTTACTCCTCGCAGCCCCTCCAGTCCTGAGTCTTCCCAAATCCATCCTGGAGTTCTTAAGGTTCATCACTTCCAACAGCATGAAACCACCCCACCTCCAGCTATCCGTTCACTTTAACCCACACCACACCACACCAATCACAGCCTTGCCTCAGGGTACAAATAAACAAGCGGTTTATTTAATAGAAACCCCCCAGATTCAGAGATGAACTAGTAAGGGAAGCGAATGTACACAAGCGACACAGAAAATAAACCTAAAGAGACAACCTCAGGCTTTACATTTCTGTCTTACATAAAATCCCTTTTCTAAGACAAGGTACCTATTGCCTTTGCCACAGTTTCCCAGCATATCCCCTAGGTAAGGGCAGGATCCAGCGTTTCACAGGCAGTTTCCTGCTTCGGTCAATGGAAGAATTCTTCTGTTGACCAAGCTACCACCTCTCGGGGAGGTGGATTACCTATGCTGGGGTTCTCAGACTTTTTTTGCTGGGCCCCCCCTTTGAAAATATTTCAGGCTATGATGACCCCCTGTCATACCCAATACCCATGCTACCATTACTTCTGCGCTGCTGCTGGTGGGAGTGCTGCCTTCTCAGCTGGGTGCCCAGCCAACGGCTGTTGCTCTCCAGCTGCCCAGCTACTGAAGGCAGCCCAGAAGTAAGGGTAGCAATACTGTGCCCCCCCATCTTCTTCGGCTATCCCTCAATGAGAGGATGATGTCTGCCAAGGGGGTTCATTGGTGAGCTTTTAAGTGGCTGAGGAGCCCAATTCTTGCCCTGCAGATTTTCCCACAGAAGTGACAGGTGTAATTTTGAAGGAGACACAGTTGTTGGCTGGAGTGTTGTGCCCTTTCTTTCCTCCTTTGTCGCTTCTCTGTCTCGTGAGCACCTCTGTTCTCCTCAAAGTGAGCTGTGGCTTGGTGCAAGGTGTGGTGCTACTGTGTTCTGTTCTGTGCCAGGTCCTCCCAGTTCCATAGGGCATCATGATTGGTACAGTCAAAGGCCTTGGTTAGGTCGATGAATACCACGAACAGTTCCTGGTGTTGCTCTCTGCACTTCTCCTGAATCTGTCATGCCACGAAGATCTTGTCGGTTGTGCCTCGGGATGGCCTGAACTGGCTTTCCTCTCCTATTTGAGATTGTCTGAAATCTAGACCAGAATCTGTAGGTTATTGGAATGTAGAAACAAACATGTCTGGCAGTGATTCAGGAAAAGTGATGTAGCGACTCTTTCTCTCTGTCCCATGTGGGAACAGACTTAAGGACATGCACCATGTTGTGGAAAAGAGTCTAACTGCTTTGATGCTTGTATGAGGGTGGGAGTGGAGAGGTTGCCAGTCAGCTGGTTCTGCTTACAAGTAATTTCTGGATGTTTTATACAGTGATTGCCATTTCTCAGCTGATATGCTGGACTTGTATTGCAACATTAATGGGGAATTGGATCCAGCCTATAAGAGCAAATACTCTTCAGTATTTAAAAGGAAGCTGCTGAATGTATATTAATGTAGCACCCTGTAAATTCCAGCCTTTGTGCTACTTTGATGAGGGATCTGTAGAAATGACAGGAAGGAATGGACAATGGGGTGAGGTGCCTGAAATTGACAGACACTTCTCTACTCTGAGACACAGCAGTTGGTGTGATACTTTGACTCGCTGCAGGAAAACAGCTGTTACAGTGAGGAACTGAAGCTGAAGAAAGCAGGGAGGTTTTTGCATTGCTCTGTATCACTGTGAGAGGTAAGCTATGAGCTTGTTGACAATAATAATCTCCAGCATCATCAGCTTCTACCCGGCTGATTGTAAAAGTGAAGTCGGTGCCAGACCCACTGCCACTGAACCGGTCTGGGATCCCAGAGGGACGGGTGGAAGTGCTGTAGATAAGGAGTTTAGGAGCGTGTCCTGATTTCTGTTGGTACCAGTGCATGTAGCTGTTGCTAACACTGGAACTGGCTTTGCAGTTGATGGTGACTCTGTCTCCTGGAGACACTGCCAGGGATTCCGGAGTCTGAGTCAGCACAATCTGCCCCTTGGCATCTGGATGAGAGGAAAAACGTTATAAGTAATATCAAATGAAATACAATTAAAAAAAAAAAGAAATCTGCAAATATCTTCATTTAGACAACCTAGTTACATTCAGGTCTGAGCCAGTTGGAATTGATCTCCCTGTGAGCTCATGAAATGAAGTACTGTGGGTTTGATGAAGAAGTCTATGATAATTAAATCATGGTGAGAGATTGTCTTAATCTCTCCTGATGTTGTTTTTACCTTGAATCCAGAGCACAAGGAGCCAGATCAGATGATTCTGTGAAATCATCCTCGTCCCTTTAGTCTGACAGACACTGAGAATCTAAGGCATAAAGTCTCAGAAAATAAATTTATATCTGCCCTATATTGCAAAGAAATGCCTCGTGGGCAGAAATATGCAAAGCAGCTGCTCCATGTAAATGTGCATTCGCTGTGCCCCTGTTCAGAGAGAACAGAGAAAGGGCCATGTACAGTCTTTGGTCTGAGAATGCAGCTCCTATGGCTGGAACGGAGTATTGCCCACATGGAGTTGGCTATGACTCCTGTAATCAATATGTGCTTTAATGCAATACCCTGTGTGTGTGTGTGTCTTTAGTAATATCTTGCCTTTGAGTAATATCTCACTTTGGGAATCCTTCTATTGATACCAGTGGGACTGCTTGTGGGATGAGCTACTACTCATAGTGAGAGTCATTGATCTGCCTCTTCTGAAATGCACACTTTGTTCATCATTGTTGTCTACGAGTTGCCAGTGCAGCCTTTTTACCCCTCTAATCTGCCTCTCAGGACACTTGCCTGTGAATCTTGGGTGATCCTGGTCACTTTTTCTAACTCTGTTTCAAGGATCCTGCAGATCTGTTCAGGGCCTCTGACTCCTGGGTTTGAAATAGTACCAGACTTCTGTTTAACCAGATTAAACATATTAACGTAACGGTAGCTTTCAGTAACCCTTCTACATCCTACTGCCAGAGGGAAAGCTTAATCTTACAAAAGCCCATCAGTGCTCGCCTTACCAACCACTCTCTAGCCCCCTTATCTACTCTGTGACCCTGCTTACTCTCAGGGGATGTCTACACAGCAACTGCAGCTGGCCTGTGTCAGTTGACTCGGGATTGTGGGATTTGGACTGTGGGGCTTTCTCATAGCTGTGTAGACTTCCAGGCTTGGGCTGGAGTTTGGGCTCTAGGACCCTGCAAGGTGGGAGCATCCCAGAGCTCAGGCTGCAGCAATGAAACAGCCCTGCAACTGGAGCACCGTGAGCCTGAGTTGGCTGGCATGGGCCAGCCAGGGGTGTCTAGTTGCTGTGTAGACCTACCCTCGGGTACCAGCCAACGACCCTTCCTATTCAACCCCCACAGAGATCCAAGCGGGCAATCCGGGAAGAGCTTCCCTGCAGGAGTCCAAACCTCTGTCTGTCTCTGCACGTAATGGCGTATGTTCCTTTTGGTCTTCATCCCCAGCATACAACTCTGCTTAACAACTTCTATCCTATAGCAACATCTCATATCCTACAATTTCATGTGAGCATAATCTCTTCTCCACAGCGCGTTAGGCCTTGTCTATATTGGAAAAGTTTTGCTGATAGAGCTATGCTGATTAAGCTATACCGGCAAACCCTCCGAGTGTGGTTGCAGTATCGAAGTGTTTCTGCCAGCACAGCTTACACCAGTTCCCTGAGTGACATCATCTATGCTGACAGAAGCACGTTTATACCTGCATAACTGCATCTCCTCTCACTCCTATAGCAGCATAGCTGTGTTGGTCAAAACTCCACCCCCATGCTGGCATCGCTGTGCTGGTGAGAAGTATTAACTGTAGCTCAGGACTAAGAGTGGCAGAGCTTTGCTGTGTGTACAGTGTTTAGATTAGAGCTGGGCCTGAACCAAAATCCCAGATAGAAATCACTCCAAACTATGGAAGAATTTGTGTGTGTGTATATCTGGAGGCGACTTTTGCGATTGCTCACTCTGTCTCTCAAAGACTTAACTAAAGCCCTCAAATTAACCTCCAGTGTGGATGTGGATCTCCAATGTCTGTCTGGGTATATCTCCGCAGCAGTGCCAGTCCAGGGGTAGTGGAGCTCGAGTCACTGGATGCTGGATCTGAGAACTCGGAGATTGAGTGTTTACACTGAGTGCTGGCCCTAAGTTTGGAGTTTTTAACCTGGGGCTCCAACATCCGTTTGCAAGCCTGAGTCCAACCAACCGTATCTGAGGCATTTGGGCATGTGGTTTACCCCCAAGGGGGTGGGAATAAAAGATATTGCTGAAGTAATTGCTGGCTTTGAGAGAAAGGGGTTTCCAAACTGCTCTTGGGCCATCGATGGGACTCGTGTGCCGATAGTTTGCCACCCTCAAGGAGCTCATGATTACCTAAGCTGCAAAGCATACTACTCCATTGTTATGTCGGTCCTCGTGGTCCCCTTAGGTAAGGGGGTTGGGGGTTGATTGCCATGCATTGTACTTATGAATGACATGACCACTTAAGAAATGGGGGTGGGGGGTACTGTGGATTTAGATACCTGTATTGAGAAATAAATAGCTTTGGCATACAACTTCAAAGTAGCACCTTCTCATGTTTGTCTTTGTTGTGTGAAATACACATTAGACGGTGTGATGCAGTGACAGTAATACAATTCCTGAATAAAATAAAAACCTTTATTTTTGAACATTTATTAGAAAAGCACAATATTAAACCATTTCCAGGCAGGCCAGCTGCCATTAGCACAGCAAGACACTGGTAAGGGCAAAAACATCAACAAAGTGTATGAACAAACGCAAGCAAGGAAACAATTTCCAAGATGGAACCCCCCCTCCCGTGGCATGTCCCCTGGATCCCTGTTCTCCTCTCCCTTCTTTATACTTTTCCCACGCACTGAGTGCCTGGGTAGGGAGAGTGGAGGCGTCCACGGGGGAGGGGTACAGTGTGGGGGACTGCTTGGGGTACATTTGTTCGATGAATACCACAAACAGTTCCTGGTGTTGCTCTCTGCACTTCTCCTGAATCTGTCATGCCACGAAGATCTTGTCGGTTGTGCCTCGGGATGGCCTGAACTGGCTTTCCTCTCCTATTTGAGATTGTCTGAAATCTAGACCAGAATCTGTAGGTTATTGGAATGTAGAAACAAACATGTCTGGCAGTGATTCAGGAAAAGTGATGTAGCGACTCTTTCTCTCTGTCCCATGTGGGAACAGACTTAAGGACATGCACCATGTTGTGGAAAAGAGTCTAACTGCTTTGATGCTTGTATGGGGGTGAGAGTGGGGAGGTTGCCAGTCAGCTGGTTCTGCTTACAAGTAATTTCTGGATGTTTTATACAGTGATTGCCATTTCTCAGCTGATATGCTGGACTTGTATTGCAACGTTAATGGGGAATTGGATCCAGCCTATAAGAGCAAATACTCTTCAGTATTTAAAAGGAAGCTGCTGAATGTATATTAATGTAGCACCTTGTAAATTCCAGCCTTTGTGCTACTTTGACGAGGGATCTGTAGAAATGACAGGAAGGAATGGACAATGGGGTGAGGTGCCTGAAATTGACAGACACTTCTCTACTCTGAGACACAGCAGTTGGTGTGATACTTTGACTCGCTGCAGGAAAACAGCTGTTACAGTGAGGAACTGAAGCTGAAGAAAGCAGGGAGGTTTTTGCAATGCTCTGTATCACTGTGAGAGGTAAGCTATGAGCTTGTTGACAATAATAATCTCCAGCATCATCAGCTTCTACCCGGCTGATTGTAAAAGTGAAGTCAGTGCCAGACCCACTGCCACTGAACCGGTCTGGGATCCCAGAGGGACGGGTGGAAGTGCTGTAGATAAGGAGTTTAGGAGTGTGTCCTGATTTCTGTTGGTACCAGTGCATGTAGCTGTTGCTAACACTGGAACTGGCTTTGCAGTTGATGGTGACTCTGTCCCCGGAATCCCTGGCAGTGTCTCCAGGAGTCTGAGTCAGCACGATCTGCCCCTTGGCATCTGGATGAGAGGAAAAACGTTATAAATAATATCAAATGAAATACAATTAAAAAAAATCTTCAAATATCTTCATTTAGACAACCTAGTTACATTCAGGTCTGAGCCAGTTGGAATTGTTCTCCCTGTGAGCTCATGAAATGAAGTACTGTGGGTTTGATGAAGAAGTCTATGATAATTAAATCATGGTGAGAGATTGTCTTAATCTCTCCTGATGTTGTTCTTACCTTGAATCCAGAGCACAAGGAGCCAGATCAGATGATTCTGTGAAATCATCCTCGTCCCTCTAGTCTGACAGACACTGAGAATCTAAGGCATAAAGTCTAAGAAACTAAATTTATATCTGCCCTATATTGCAAAGAAATGCCTCGTGGGCAGAAATATGCAAAGCAGCTGCTCCATGTAAATGTGCATTCGCTGTGCCCCTGTTCAGAGAGAACAGAGAAAGGGCCATGTACAGTCTTTGGTCTGAGAATGCAGCTCCTATGGCTGGAATGGAGTATTGCCCACATGGAGTTGGCTATGACTCCTGTAATCAATATGTGCTTTAATGCAATACCCTGTGTGTGTGTGTGTGTGTGTGTCTTGAGTAATATCTTGCCTTTGAGTAATATCTCACTTTGGGAATCCTTCTATTGATACCAGTGGGACGGCTTGTGGGATGAGCTACTACTCATGGTGAGAGTCATTGATCTGCCTCTTCTGAAATGCACACTTTGTTCATCATTGTTGTCTACGAGTTGCCAGTGCAGCCGTTTTACCCCTCTAATCTGCCTCTCAGGACACTTGCTTGTGAATCTTGGGTGATCCTGGTCAGTTTTTCTAACTCTGTTTCAAGGATCCTGCAGATCTGTTCAGGGCCTCTGACTCCTGGGTTTGAAATACCACCAGACTTCTGTTTAACCAGATTAAACATTATATTAATGTAATGGTAGCTTTCAGTAACCCTTCTACATCCTACTGCCAGAGGGAAAGCTTAATCTTACAAAAGCCCATCAGTGCTCGCCTTACCAACCACGGTCTAGCTCTCTTATCTGCTCTGTGACCCTGCTCACTCTCGGGGGATGTCTACACAGCAACTGCAGCTGGCCTGTGTCAGTTGACTTGGGATTGTGGGATTTGGGCTGTGGGGCTTTCTCATAGCTATGTAGACTTCCAGGCTTGGGCTGGAGTTTGGGCTCTAGGACCCTGCAAATTGGGAGCATCCCAGAGCTCAGGCTGCAGCAATGAAACAGCCCTGCAACTGGAGCACCGTGAGCCTGAGTTGCCTGGCATGGGCCAGCCAGGGGTGTCTAGTTGCCGTGTAGACCTACCCTTGGGTACCAGCCAACGACCCTTCCTATTCAACCCCCCAGAGATCCAAGCGGGCAATCCAGGAAGAGCTTCCATGCAGGAGTCCAAACCTCTGTCTGTCTCTGCACCTAATGGCGTATGTTCCTTTTGGTCTTCATCCCCAGCATATAACTCTGCTTAACAACTTCTATCCTATAGAACATCTCATATCCTACAATTTCATGTGAGCGTAATCTCTTCTCCACAGCGCGTTAGGCCTTGTCTATATTGGAAAAGTTTTGCTGATAGAGCTATGCTGATTAAGCTATACCGGCAAACCCTCCGAGTGTGGTGCAGTATCGAAGTGTTTCTGCCAGCACAGCTTACACCAGTTCCCTGAGTGACATCATCTATGCTGACAAAAGCACGTTTATACCTGCATAACTGCATCTCCTCTAACTCCTATAGCAGCATAGCTGTGTTGGTCAAAACCCCACCCCCATGCTGGCATCGCCGTGCTGCTGAGAAGTATTAACTGTAGCTCAGGACTAAGGGTACATCTACACTACAGGGGGGAGTCGATTTAAGATATGCAAATTCAGCTACGTGAATAGCGTAGCTGAATTTGACGTATCGCAGCCGACTTACCCCGCTGTGAGGATGGCGGCAAAATTGACTTCTGCGGCTTTCTGTCGACGGCGCTTACTACCACCTCCGCTGGTGGAGTAAGAGCGTCGATTTGGGGATCGATTGTCGTGTCCCGTCGGGACGCGATAAATTGATCCCCGAGAGGTCGATTTCTACCCGCCGATTCAGGCGGGTAGTGTAGACCTAGCCTAAGAGTGGCAGAGCTTTGCTCTGTGGACAGTGTTTAGATTAGAGCTGGGCCTGAACCAAAATCCCAGATAGAAATCACTCCAAACTATGGAAGAGTGAGTGTGTGTGTGTGTGTCTGGAGGCGACTTTTGCAATTGCTCACTCTGTCTCTCAAGGACCTAACTAAAGCCCTCAAATTAACCTCCAGCGTGGATGTGGATATCCAATATCTGTCTGGGTATATCTACGCAGCAGTGCCAGTCCAGGGGTAGTGGAGTTGAGTCACTGGATGCTGGATCTGAGAACTCGGAGATTGAGTGTCTACACTGAGTGCTGACCCTAAGTTTGGAGTTTTTGAACCTGGGGCTCCAACATCCGTTTGCAAGCCTGAGTCCAACCAACCGTATCTGAGGCATTCGGGCATGTGGTTTACCCCCAAGGGGGTGGGCATACAAGATATTGCTGAAGTAATTGCTGGCTTTGAGAGAAAGGGGTTTCCAAACTGCTCTTGGGCCATTGATGGGACTCGTGTGCCCATAGTTTTCCGTCCTCAAGGAGCTCATGGCTACCTAAGCTGCAAACCACACTACTCCACTGTTATGCCGGTCCTCGTGGAGCACAGAGGCCAATTTATGAACATTAGTGTGGGCTGCATTAGAAAAGTTCATAATACCAGGGTTGTTTGCTGATTGGGAGTCTACATTCAAGAACAGGTTGGGACACTATTCCCACCAAATGATATCAGAAATGGAATTACTGACCCCACTGTTATTCTGGGGTCCCCGAGTACCCCCTTTTTGCTTTAGCTTATGAAACCATACCCTGATCTCAAAGACTCTGACAAAATAAGGTTTAATTACACACTCAGCAAGAATAGAATGGTGGTTGAATGTGTGTTTGGCAGGTTGAAATCCCCCGGCACTGTCTACAGACACGTTTGGATTTCAGTGTCATCAATGCAGTCCGCATTACTGAGGCATGCTGTGCTTCACAATCTCTGTGAAGCCAAAAGTGAGCCATTTGTCCCTGAATGGGCCTCTGACGGTGTTGGACAGCTGACCCGGTACACTCAGCCAGAAAGTTCTGCTACCACTACTGGAGATGGGTGCACCGGGGCAACAGAAATTGGGGCTGCTTTGTGCTCCCACATCATGAACTTGCATGGACCAATGGAAAAGGGAGAGTAGTACCTTTATGCATGTGCTTGGGCATTGCTTACAGTACCTTAGGTAAGGGGGTTGGGGATTGATTGCCATGCATTGTATTTATGAATGACATGACCACTTAAGAAATGGGGGTGAGGGATACTGTGGATTTAAATATCTGTATTGAGAAATAAATAGCTTTGGCATAAAACTTCAAAGTTGTACCTTATCATGTTTGTCTTTGTGTGAAATACACATTAGACGGTGTGATGCAGTGACAGTAATACAATTCCTGAATAAAATAAAAACCTTTGTTTTTGAACATTTGTTAGAAAGGCACAATATTAAATCATTTCCAGGCAGGCCAGCTGCCATTAGCACAGCAAGACACTGGTAACGGCAAAAACATCAACAAAGTGTATGAACAAACGCAAGCAAGGAAACAATTTCCAAGATGGAACCCCCCCTCCCGTGGCATGTCCCCTGGCCCCCTGTTCTCCTTTCCCTTCTTTATACTTTTCCCACGCACGGAGTGCCTGGGTAGGGAGAGTGGAGGCATCCACGGGGGAGGGGTACAGTGTGGGGGACTGCTTGGGGTACATTTGGCCTGTCCAGCCACTGATAGGGCCCAATTGTATGGCCCACCCAGCCGTGGAATTATCCAAACTATTCCTGGTCTGCAGCACGTTGTACCGTGGAGGGGACTCAGGCCGTGGAGCAGGAACAGCAGGATTAGTGAAAGCAGCCGCTCACAGGTCTTTCTGCTGTGCTCTGTCTTCCTTAACTGTTATTCCTCTTCCAGGAACTGAAAAGCAAGTGCCTCTTCCCTCACATAAATCCTGTCCTCAAACTGTGCAGCCAGCCGGAGTCTTTCCACCTGCCTCTTGTCTTGCCTTTCCATCTACTGTAAGTTCCTCTCTCTTTGGTACTGGACCTGCTTGTTGGCTCTGTCCTTATGGAAATGCTTCCTTTTGGACTAAAAATAACGAGGAGTGCTTGTGGCACCTTAGAGACTAACAAATTTATTTGGGCATAAGCTTTCGTGGGCTAAAACCCACTTCATCAGATGCATGGTGTGGAAAATACAGTAGCAGGTGTATATACCCAGTACATGAAAAGATGGGAGTTGCCTTACCAAGTGGGGGATCAGTGCTAACGAGACAATTCAATTAAAGTGGAAGTAGGCTATTATAGACAAAAAAGGGAAGGGGGCGCTGGATGAAATAAGCAAGTTAACTCCACAGGCCCTAGGCAGCTCCCTCACTTTGGACTGAAATGTCACTTACCAGATTGACTGGGAATAAATGTTCTCAGCTCATAATTCTTGTTTAGGTCCCAGTTAGTATCACTGTTACACTAGAAACCATCTCATAACAATGAGACAGTGCCAAGGTCTGTTCAAGTGCTCATTAAACAGGGGTGAGCCCTTCATAGATAAATTAAGACTTGATCCAAAGCCCATTGAAGTCAGTAGGAGTCTTTCCATTGACGTGAGTGGGTTTTTGAATCAGGTCCTCAGGCTAATCCCTGTGTCTCCTTATTTACACCTACGGGTTAGCACTAGTGCAGCTAGACCACACCCTGCAGCTGGTCTGTTCCTGTGCTCTGCCTCCTCCCAGCTCCAGGGGACAGGGAAACACAGCGCCGGGGCCTCTGTCTCCTCACCATATCCTCTGTCCCCGCAGATTTTGTTATCCTATCGGGTCATCCAGCTAATGAAAATGAACCTTCATATAATGGCCAACAGATGGCAGCACTTAACCTATAAATTGGACCATCTGAAATTCTGGATACTTCATTCATATAAAGATAATACAACAATAAAAATCATTGCGCATATTCTAAAACAATAAAAGTAAATTAGTTCCAGTTTCACTGTTCTCTTCTGCAGATTGCAGGGGACGCTTATTGGGTCTGATTCTGATCTTTCTTATGCTTATCTCCGTTGACATCAAAGAACTTACTCATGGTTTGAACCAGTGAGTCTTGAAGTTACTAGTATTTTGTCATGGTAGAATCTGTCCCTGTGTGTCTATAGACTGAACATATGATAAAGAATTTAAGACAAAATGTTTTGCATGCATGTAAGAGACCAACCTTTCCCTGTTGCTCTGAGCAGTTATAAATGTTGAGTTTCAGTCTAGAGTTGCCTATAGTGGTTGGATGTATTCCTGGAGGTGTCATTACATGACATCTTTAATTCCTGGAGACTCCCGGACAATCCTGGAGCGTTGGCAACCCTATTGTTTCACTCTTCCTGGCTTATTGATCAGCACTGGATAGTCAGATGCATGAAGACGCTCTCAAAGGTTTAACAGGAGGACTTGTGGCACCTTAGAGACTAACAAATTTATTAGAGCATAAGCTTTTGTGGACTACAGCCCACTTCTTCGGATGCCACAAGTCCTCCTGTTCTTCTTTTTGCGGATACAGACTAACACGGCTGCTACTCTGAAACTTTTCAAAGGTTTAGTTTATCTGGTTGTTAGCGTTCTGAGTCCAGGATAAGAATCAACATTAATAGGGCAAAGTCTTAAAGGGCAGAATGTCACAGTATATGATTTGTGACTAATATCAAACCAGTGACATTCTTGATCAGTATTTGCAGATTTGAGTCCAATCCTATGGATTTACTGTGTTAAGAAAAAGTTTAAAAATACAGATACAAATTGTGAATGGAAACTCAATACTGCTTATTTTATTGGCTGAGATGTGTCATGCCTCTTTATTTAAACAACAAGGAGTCCGGTGGCACCTTAAAGACTAACAGATTTATTTTGGCATAAGCTTCTGTGGGTAAATAACCTCACTTCTTCAGATGCATGTTTGTGTGGATACAGACTAACACTGCTACCTCCAGACACTTGGCATCTTTATTTAGGCTTTGTTTGCGTATTCAGACTCTACCAGGGACTGTCATGCATCAAATTATACCAAAATGATTTTACTCCCCATTTCCCCAAAATAATTCTTACTTGCTTCCCAGTCTGAGCAGTTCAGGATTAACTGAACTGTCTAGTTGGCAGCCAGTTTCAAGCGGAGTGCCCCAAGGATCGGTCCTGGGGCCGGTTTTGTTTAATATCTTTATTAATGATCTGGAGGATGGTATGGACTGCACTCTCAGCAAGTTTGCAGATGACACTAAACTGGGAGGCGTGGTAGATACACTAGAGGGTAGGGATCGGATACAGAGGGACCTAGACAAATTAGAGGATTGGGCCAAAAAAAACCTGATGAGGTTCAACAAGGACAAGTG